TCAAATGATTCCTCAGGTTCTCGGTTTTCACTTCCCTGACGGAGTGTTCACGGGAACGAAACGAGTCCCTAGATCCTTCGCCGAAAGCTGCAAATTCATTGAGACGGCTGAGAACGTTCACATTGTCCTTTTCTAACTGCCGTAATCGACCCCCAAACTTCTCCTCGATCATTTCTTCCAGTTGACGGGCCAATGGGGTGGATCCTCCTGATCTGATGCCCATACTGGTTTGGCGGGTATGCCCCCCTCGATTGAATTGAGATATTCCTGTCTACACCATCAACTTGATCCTTCATTTTGAAACTAGGAGAAGCTTGCAAATCGAGGTTCTTCTGCTGGGGACCCTTCTCTTTCTGTCGAGTATGCACCATGGTCACTGTTCTTTGGAAAAACTAATCGTTTCCCACAGACGGCGCCAGATTGTGCGTGCAAATTTCTGCACAATATGTATGAGAACAGATCTCTCTCGTGGTGAACACGATTCCATCGAAGCAGCGGTCGATCTCACCACCTGGAATGGGTTGAGAGGGCCAAAGGGGGCTTAAGTAGTGGCGATGAATTGTTTGTTGGGTCGCTCGACCGGTCTTGGAAGGCTACGGGGGTTTCCTGGAATACAGGAAAATGGGTTAGAAGGGCGCTAGAGTGTTTTTCGGCGTATCTCCTCTTACGATCAAGTCAGTAGCTGTGAGAGTGGAGAAAAAGAAAACATTGTATGGCTCTTGAGAGATGTTCTTGCGTACCTTTGCAATACATTTTTGAGGACTATTTATACCTTCAAAAGTTCATCATTGCTGATAATATAGCTAATAGACAATCATTAGAGATGGAGTAGTGTGCCCCCTTTCCTTTAGTAGGGAATGCATTCAGCCTTAACTGCTCGGGACACCGAGCAATTAATGCTTTCCTCTCGGCCTACTGAGTATTAAATGCCCAGGCATGGGAGCATTTAATGTCTTTCACTTCTCAGCTCCCATGCCTTAAATGTTGTCTCATCAGGAAGGGGATACATTAAATGTCTGTTTACTCAAGTCATGTGTCAGCAGGGACATTTTGGTCTTTTTATCTTTGATCTGACACCGCATGCCACGTGTCCTTTCCTCATTGGTTGAATCTTCTGCATTCTTGTGCCTCCTGACACCATTGAATAGAATGNTTGGTCTTTTTATCTTTGATCTGACACCGCATGCCACGTGTCCTTTCCTCATTGGTTGAATCTTCTGCATTCTTGTGCCTCCTGACACCATTGAATAGAATGTTGTTATGATGGCTAGCCTATGCTAGTCACCAGTTAATCACCAGCCCTTGTAGAAGTGGAAAAGTCCACTTTCCAGTAGATACACCTTGGCGTCGAGGGAGCATACACTCATCGGGACTGATATCATCAATCTGAGCCGAGAGATATGTGTCATCCATCCTACCTCGGAATCACTCGACCCCGGACTAAGGATGTCAATGACACGTGTGAAGACCATAGCAGAGATGTTTCATCGGTGCCAAAAACACGTGTCGTCATTTGTTGCGCTCTAGAAATATCCCATCACATAGTCATCGTTTACTTAGTTTATGGGAACATTGAGTGTTGTAAGTATGTGAACTGCTTTTCTACAAGCCATTGTTGTTGACTTTGCAAACAACATGTTTAGTGAAGAAAAACTGTACATATGACAGGCGACGCATTTGTTGACAATTCCAATTTTCTCTGTCTGTCAATAGGTGTTTGGCATATTTGTATAATTGCGGAGAGCACTACGACTTTATCTACTTAACGTAAAATCTATATTATAATTGTTCAAGTGATTGAACTATGGCGTAATGACTACTTTTGAATTGTTTTCTAGGCCGATGTGATCAAGATCTTAAATAGTTTTCTTTAAGGAATGTGGCTACAGAGAAAATAGGAATAAAGTTGGGTGAGTGAGTTGAGATGGGTGAACAAGGGTTTGGGTTTGGGTTTGGGGATCAAAATTGAGTGATTAGCTTATATTGATTTTCTCAATTTCTTTCATAGTAGATCTGATCATCTTCCATGGATGCAGGGAACGTTTTTGGTTGAATCACATAAATGTCATGTGTTTTTTAATGTCCTTTATTTATTTTTTGTCACTTTGTTGTCTAGCTAGGTACTCAAATCAAACATACCACAACATTAAAGTTATGGTTACCTTACTGAACATTGGTATACCTTTTTTCTTAAGGTAGGTTTTTGGAACCATCTTACCCGATATAAAATGGACTTGCCTATAGTGGGCACGATGATGTTATAACTCACTCTTAACCGATTTTCAGGCCCTTGTGGATAATTGGGATTATGATTGATAATCAAGTTGAGCTTGTTGAGCTCGTTTTTGTAAATTAGTTTAAACTTTTTCAAACTCGATTTATTTAAAAAACGAGCCGAGCTCGAGTAACTTGACTATTCCATGTATAAATTAGTCGCGCTTTGTAAGCTTGATCTAAATTTTTTAAGCTCGTTTTCTAAAAAAATCTATAAAATTGTTCAAACTCAACTTATTAAGAAAACGAGTCAAACTCAGGCTCCGCTCAATTATCAACCCTAATTGAGATTACCACCAAGAAAGTTGATTGATTCAATCCCTATCATCCATCAGAAAACAAATATAGTTGGCATTCTTTATGCATATTTTTTCTTTCAACAACAATATTTTTTTACTATGATATTATCCAAGCACAAAACAAAAAATACTTCAATAATACAATAAAAATAAAAGGTTGGCATATAGTAATAATATTGTAAGTATATGTTTAGTATTATTTAGGTCATTATTCTTTCAATTATATGACTTTAGTTCCACAAGTTTATAATTTGTGTAGCATTGTTCAAGATCAAAATTGCGATTTAACTGAATACTTGATGTGGTAACTTTTGTCCCATGTGATTACACTTTAAAGGCCACTTTGATTCCTCATGTTTGTAATTTGTGTCTCTTTAATCATTCAAGTTGCAATTTGAGTCAGTGTAGTTCCTCTAGTTGTCAAAGAATACTCTTCAAGTGTCATTACATGAAACACAAGTGACCAACTCCATTAAACAATGAAAAACACTCCAGTCCAAACTTTTTCTTGCCCAACCTCAAACCATGTCCAAACTTTTTCTTGCTTTCACTTCTATCATTTCCAGGCCTGTAACGTATGGTTTGGGCGTGGTAAATTACTAAATTTATATGTTATATGATACATATAATCTAACCACGAATTCAATAGCAAAAGAAATTTATAGAAATTGAATCTTGGTACAACGATAATACTGCAAGATCAACCCGTAAAAGATGTATCTTTGTAAGTGAAGGACAACTTATACATCTGACTTCTTCCAAACATTGACGGATGGGAGACTCATGATTTGGGTTGCCTTTTTATCGATTTATACTAATATACAGGTGAACATTTCTAGAGGACTAATGTCAAGAGTGTTTTACAAGACTTGAGAATACAAAAGTTTTTAAACATTAACAAATAAAAAAGCAATATACGATGCAGCATAGTCATAAAAACAAGCATGGTGTCTTGACGGATCAGTTTTCCTCTTCCAACCCTATCAACAAAAGCTTCGAACAAAAAAATAACTTGAAACAAAATAATGTCAACATGCTTATCATTATAATGTGTAGCCTCACACATTATCGAGGGTACAAATCAGTGATTGAAACCTCATTCACAGACCAGTGGTCGGACTTACTCTTTGATTGACTGGATCGAGTTGCTCCTGAGTCATCCTCTCGAAGTAGTGGCATTTCTGGATTGACACTGTTTTGCACTAAAAATGCAGGTTGTGAGGGTACTGGGAGAGTGAGAGAGAAGCTACTAAACATGAGAACAACTGAAGCCATAGTTGGTCTGTCTACTGCATTTTCCTGCACACATAGCAATCCAATATGGATGCACCTCATTATTTCTTGTCCTGAACTTGAATGAGCCCTCAATTTGGGATCTATTAGATTTGAAGCCGTTCCATCTTGCCAATTTTTCCAAGCCTGCAAGAATGCAACAAGTTTAGTTGCAAGCTTTCATTGGATCACACTTTATGGGGCTACTAATCACCCTTAATTATTTGTACTTACATAGTTTATGAGATCCTCGTACTTCCCATGTTGAAAAGAGTTATTCTTCTTACCACTTATTATCTCTAGAACCAACACGCCAAAGCTGAAGACATCTGACTTAACTGAGAATCGACCATGCATTGCGTACTCTGGTGCCATATAGCCACTGCAATTATTAAGTTGCGGGTTTACTATTAGTATTAGAAGTTGAAGATCACCATGTTTGGGTTTGAAGGCAGGCTTCAACTTAAGCCTTTCATGTTTTTCCCTTGAGGTTCCGAGGGCTACTTAATTTGTATCTTTGCAAATAAGTGTACTCAAACAATTTCCCATTTCTATTTGTTTTAATTAAAGAATACATGGCAGTACAGGAGAATGTTGCATGGGTTAAGAATTATTCGATACTTACTAGGTCCCCGCAATTGTATTTGTACTGCCTTGAGTTTCATCAAGTACAAAAAGTCTCGCCATCCCAAAATCCGCAATTTTTGGGTTCATTTCTGCATCTAATAGGATATTACTAGCTTTGAGATCACGATGAATAATCCGAAGTTGAGAATCTTCATGAAGATAAAGAAGCCCCTTAGCAACGCCTCCTATGATTTTGTAGCGCATATCCCAATCCAAATATGCTCGTTTAATTTGATCTACAAATCCAACCAAGTATAAGGTTTAGTCAGAGTTCTAACAAACCATAATTCCTTCAGAAAACAATAAAAAAGGAACTTGGATTACCAATTTGAGCTACACCTTAACAAAAGTTTAAGATAAGGATTTTAAATGGTTACTGATGTCTTAATATCTTTTGGTTGGAACTTGTACATGCAAGTAGAAGTGTATTTCGGATTAAGGTAATAGTAATACGGACAAGAACTTTATAGAAGGGGGATAGTTAGAGATCTGGCAGATCTGGCATACCAAATAGGAAATGATCGAGACTTGCATTGGGCACAAACTCATATACGAGAAGTCTTTCTGTTCCTTCCAAACAGAAACCTAAGAGTCTAACTAAATTCCGGTGCTGAAGCTTCACTACCAATAAGACTTCATTCTTAAACTCTTCTTCACCTTGTCTTGAACCTCGGGACAGCCTCTTCACAGCTATCTGTTGTCCATTTGGAAGCCTACCCTGTAGTTATATCAGAATCGGTGTTAGATAAGTTATCCCAAGCAATGAAAGGTTTTGATTTGATACAATTGGATAAATTATCATAAGGGGGTGTACACTTTTACCTTGTAAACCGCTCCAAATCCGCCTCGTCCAAGCATGTTACTATCAGAAAAGTTATCCGTAGCGGTTCTTATTGTACCAAAGTCGTACTGTAAGGTTTCTACGATGCTAATTTCATCCACGTCTTTGCAGAAAACCAACAAATTTAGCTTCAGATATAGTGCTTAAACAAAAAAAAAAAAAGTAGCACATAGCTATAGCTAGGCATTACAATTGAACCTTCAAAGTCTCCTCGTGCCAACCAATGCTCCAATAGCTTAAGTTATTAAAAAGAGAAGAAATAACATAGTTTAACCAAGGATTAAATTTTATTTTATTTTCATTGAAACAAATCAGTAATTGAATAACAAAATTCTTGTGTTTTGAAGTGACTCAGGATACTTAAGATATTTTGGAATGTTTCAAAATTCTTTGACCAATGTTTTGGGAAATATATCCGCAACATTTTCTATGTATTGAAATAAAATTTTTATCCTTGATTGCAACATTCCCTTTGCATGTGAGGAGATCGACATTAACTCAACTATTTAGTGCTAAGTAACATCATATAAAACTGAAATTATTAAGGTCATACACCACTTTTTGGACTATAAAAAATCAATACTTCAACAAAGATGCAATAAGGACTGCATTCTTCTTTATTTCAGTAATGATAACTAATTACTTCAACAAATTAAGCCTACTGTTTAAATGGACAGTGAAAAAACAATTTGAACTTACTCTGATCAATTTCCTTCTTCGGCTTCATATGCTTCCTTTTTCTTAGAAAGATGCAAATGAAAATGAAAAGACCCACAGAGATCACAGTTGGAACCACGATAATGACAAAAATTGGAGTTGTGCCATTGTCTTTGCCTGCAAAAGAACAAAAATATGTTAAAAAAAAAAAAAGAAATTGATTTATTTATCATAATCATGTAAAGCTATTGTGATTCGTGCATGCGATGAATAATCAATAAAACAGAATAATAGAAGAAGAACACAAAAATTTACATAGTTCGGCAACTTGCCTACATCCATGATCCTAGAGCGGTTGCCTTATTTTATTTCACACTGAATTAGGGTGATAATAATTAGGAGGCACGTACTACTCCACACAAAAGGGCTATGCCCCTGCCTCCCCCAGCCTATCTTCAACTCGGTAGTAAGTCGCTCACTCTGACAATTAACCCATTATCTCCTTGGGCTTGGTGTAATTCTCCGTACTCTAAATATAAACTACCTATCCCAACAAAAGCCGACCCAAAAAATGTTGAGACAAGACTTTATTGGGTTGAATATGTAATGTTGACATGGAACAAAGAAGAGTTTGCTTGAGATTTACTTGAAAATCTATGCATGACCTGTGATTTTGAAAATTATCGAAGTCGAAGGCGGGGCAGGGGAGAGTTTATCTTTCTAGACTTTGGAGAGCAATTTCAACCGGGGATCGATTGATTTTCAAACCTTGTTTTCATAGCCACCATGGCTAGGCCATCTCTGATATCGAATTACTTGGAAAGGTAAGGAGCAAATTTTCAAATGCATTACTTGTCAATCCTTTCACTTTTTCAATCTAAAAACAAATACAGACAGAGTCATACCCGGAGGCGGCGGTGATGGTGGCAGTGGGGGTGACGACGGTGGCAGTGGAGGTGACGACGGTGATGGTGGTGGTGCATCACCTGGTGTTTTATTAAAGAAACGCCACAAATCATACCTAAAACTACAGCTAGGTCTTAGAATGCTCAATCCTATTTTTCCATTACAGCATTGTGAAATTTCTGCAGCAGCCCCTTCCAGGCAAGTGTAACACTGGTCCCGAGATAAATCCGGGGTGCATTGCGAAATCGCGTATATTGTCTCGAAGTCAGGGCCAGGTACGTTCCCGGAGTCGAACTTGCGTCGAGAATCACCTGATGCTGCTTGTGTTCGCAAGCTCTCCAACAAGGTCCTCAATGGCTGATTAAACTGAACCACGTTCGAAGCATTAGCAGTGTTGAACACATATGCACTAGGGCGAGTTTCAACAGTTTGTAATATAGAGGCATTTGAGAACCTTAACATACAAAATTCAGACCAATGCACTACCCCTCGGTAGTTTGGACAAAGTTTCATGACATTACGAGTCGAGTCATTGATACAACTACGGCATATATCCAACTCAACATCTCCTCGACAAAGCGCCATCACGTTAATTCTATTAATGTTTTCGCCAATAGAGGTATTGTAAAAGCCATATAAATCCATATTGGAGGGAAGGGAAGAGAGGAGAGTGTTCTTATTTGCCTCATATATGCTGCTAGTAGAATTGTCTCCTAGACAAAAGTGCTGTGCTGTAGTGAGGGCAAGAAAGTTGATGAGGATATGAGAGAGGAAGAAAAGCAGTTTCGAATAACCCATTTTCATTGTATTGAATAATTCAAGACTTTCAATAGCTGTAGCACATATAAGCTGGAGAAGGGCGATGAACTAAGAGCTTGAAGATAAACTTGCCTATAATTTTCTATTTCTATTTTTTTTAAGGGCAATTAAATGCTAACTGGTCAAACGTACTGATTTCTACATTTGACTCTTGACTTTGGAGGATTCAAAGATTTACACAAAGTTCTTAATTGAATGTGGAAAGTTTGGAAAGAAAACAAAAGGTTGATTGGGATGGGCGTGGTTAAATACAAGGAAAGAAAGAAAATGTTAATGCCAACTATAACATTTTTTTTTTTTTGGGGAAACATTGATGGTACGAAAGAATTTTATTAATTAAAAAAAGAATTACACTTTTCTAAAGGGGACGCCAACTATCCTTTCTAACTAATATAGCTGAATAAGAAAACCTCTATGTTACGGCTTGTGCCACGAACTAAGTAGATTGAAATTAAGAAACGATTCCTGCACGCCAACGAAATCTATCAGTTGTGGATCTTGGAAGGAGCTGATAGAAGAAGCCATATATTTTTATAACCTTTTTTTTCAACTGAATTGTATTTTTATATAATTTAAGAATACTTCACATTTGCTTTATATATTTTTGGGAACATTAAGGTTATGGCCACCTTAATCTCATGAAGAACCTTGGACAGTTCTATTCCTTTGTACATCCCCATAGCTCTTTAAAAAACTTGCTATTTTATTTTACTTGGGGCCTGACTTACAACATTTCTTATGTTTCATTTAGTACGATGGAAAGTTGGAAGGATAAATAAAATATATATTTTGTAAAAATAAAAAATAAAAAGGATAGAAAAGTGGATGAATTAACTTTCCTTACAACTCACTAAAATCAATCTCTAAAATCGGAAGAAAATTGATGAAAAGTTAATTATTTGTTTTGAAATATTTTTTATTTGTCTATATATTTTTTAATGTATACATATATTATGTATACATTAATTATATATATAAATTCAATGATAAAATATGCATTTTATACTTTTTAAAAAAAAATTAAAATTAAAGATTTACAAAATAATAATTAAAATTAAAAATTAAAAAAAATTCATTTTACCAAATACAAAAAAAAATTAAGTATTTTTATTTTTCATCCATCCTATCAAACACAGAAAAGAAAGTGTATCAATCTTACTTTCTTTCCTTAGATGACAGAAAGTGTATCTCTTTTACTTTTCATCTCTCGTTTTTCCATCCTTCGTACCAAATAAAACATCAGTTAGACATGTAAAAAGAGTGAATACAAAATCAAGTTCAGTAGTAGATTGCAGTAATTATTGTACCCAAACTTTATGACTCCTGCCTTTTAAATTTATTCTTCGTTTATTACGATGGCAAAATGAAAGGATGAAAAGTTAAAATAATAGACAAAATATCATGTTTGGTAAGAAAGAAAAATATGATGAATGAAAAAGTGAATGGATGAACTGTCCTTTCAACTCACCAAAATTAGAAGAAAAGTGGATGAAAAGTTAATTATTAGTGTTAAAATATATCTTATTTGTCTATACATACTTTGATATATACATATATTATGTATATATTAATTTCATATATAATACAATAATAAAATATATATTTATACTTTTTTTAAAGAAATTTAAAAATAAAAATTTTTAAAATATAAAAAATAAAAATTTAAAATTATTTTTTCCATCTTACCAAGCACAAAAAAAAATTATTATTTTTATTTTTCATCCATCCTACCAATCACAAAAAAAAAAAAAATATATATATATATATATATATATATCATTTATACTTTTTTTTTATCCCTCTTATTTTTTATCTCTCGCATCTTCCATTCTTCCTATCAAATGGACCATTAAACTTGACTAAAGAAAAAATTTAAGTAAAGTTGAATATTGTGTTGTCTCCGTCTCTGAGCCAATCAACGTGTCCCTCTCACCTTGGCCAAGTCAACAGGAATGCCCTAAAATCAAATCTGATGATTAACTAGTGACCCCAACGCGAAAAAGGTGGAAAAAACATGAACATAGAAATAAAGTGCCATTACTCCCAACACGGTAGGTACTATGTAGGTCTTTATATCATCTTACACGGCATAAAGTCAACATGGTCATGCATTTACTAGGGCATTTTGCACCATGAAAAATCTAATTTAACTAAAAATTCAGTTTTTAGTCAAATGATAATTTACACCATGAAAAAACTAACATTTCTAGATTACATAATGAATCGGATAAAAGAGTAGTAATGTGATCCAAAACTACATGTCTATTGCTTTGTTCGATATTAATTTTCTTGTATTTTTTTTTATTTTTGTAGTCAATTATTAGTAAATTACTCAATTTTAAACATTTATATAAAAAATTTTAACTTAATTTTATAAAAATAAACCACATTTTTGGCATTTTATATGATTGAAAGTGGATATAAATTGACAATTAAAATTCTTTTAAGCCCCATTTAGATAACAATAATCTGGGTTCAAGTATCTAATTCTAGTAAAGGAATACCCAAGTTTCAAATATCAATGTAATCTATTATTTACTACTAGTTAATAACAAAAAAATAGTAAATTTTTTTCCAGAAATGTGTAAGCCCAATTTTTTTTTAAAAAAAAAAATCAACAACATTTTTTCTTAAAAGCATGATCCCAAAAACCACTAACCTTTGTACACAATTTATATACTTGAGAAAAAAAAATTTATTAAATAAAAAATATTTTAAACTTAAATCGGGATAAAATTTAATCGATTCGGAACAAAATCGAACCCAGAAAAGGAGAACGTGTGATAAAATGTAGACCAAGCACCTAAGGAGTATAAATGGGGAGAAAATCATATTTTCTTGTCATACCCATCAGATTTTCTGAAAAAAAAATAGAAGAGAGGGAAAAGGTTAGTTTTTTCAATTTCTCTCTGGATCTACGACTCTACGTTGGTCGAATCAACTCGAGTCAATAACCAAAGTTCATCTACGCGACGAGGGCTACGACTACGTACCAAAAAAGACGAATTTTGACGAAGTTCAAAAGATGAGATTTTGAGAAATCAAGGGTTTGAGCTTGATTGGAGTTCTTGAAGGCTTTTTACCTTTGTTTTTACACTTTAAGAGGTAGGGTTCCTTTCCTAATTAGTTTTATTTCCAATCTAGGGTTGTTATATGAGACGGGTAGGGTGTTAGAGATGTATTCTCATGTATAACACTTGCCTATGGTAGTTGAAATGAAAAAATGAGTATTGAAAATGGGTAAAATTAATTCTAGCATGAATTGGGTAATTAGAAATTAAATGTTTGTGATTTCTTGATAAAGAGGTTGATTGGACATGCTATATGTTTATATTATGCCTACGTAAATAAAGTGTGTTATGTGCATATACTATGTTATAACATGCTTGAAAATTTATGTTGGGTATAAATGTTGATATATGCATTATGATGTATTGACATTGAGATGGTTNGTATTATGCCTATGTAAATAAAGTGTGTTATGTGCATATACTATGTTATAACATGCTTGAAAATTTATGTTGGGTATAAATGTTGATATATGCATTATGATGTATTGACATTGAGATGGTTTATGATGATTACATGCTTATGATGTGATTGGTCATGTAAAAATGTTGAAAAGTGATTGAAATGGTTCATATAGTGCTCATAACATATTGAACATGATATTAGAATTACAATTGTATATGACATTGCATATGCATGGAGACATCGCATTTGTGAGCATTGACATGAGTGTGGGTGTGTGTGTATGTCTTTGAATCAAACACCATTCTTGGTGGTTGAGGTGTAGACTCGAGAAAGTTGGACTTAGGTTCGGCTGAGTCGCGCAGTTGCATGAAAAACTTTTATGAGGTATAACAAGAAGGGCTAGATTTTCCCTCGGGTGCAAGACTTGATTATTGGTTTATACACTTTCGACAGTGCAAGTCTAAAAAAGTGTATCGGTGTGTGAAATCGACGGTGAGACACCAGAATTAGTGTACCCAACAAAGACACATGATTTTGTTTACAAAATAGTCATTTGATGTGTAACATCAATGACGGGGGCTTGGAATGCCCAGATTCATACGTATGACATTACATGTGTTGAGGGAGCCGGTGAAGCCTAGGGTTGAGGTGCATGAGTGAGTCTCATCTCATATCATGACATGACATAGTGAATTCCATCATTAAATTACATATTCTTGACTGATATATTTGTTGCTTGTTGAATTTGAATGTGAATATTTCATATGCATCTAGGTTATAGAGTAGCCTCTTTAGAAAATACTCTATTGAACGTGACTCACCCTTTATGAGATAATATTTCAGGTGCGGGATATACGTCGGTGGACGGCTCTGATTTGGGCCCTCAATGATGAAGAAAATCCAAGATGTGGTTTTATCTTATGTTTTTGTAAAACTATTGTAAAAAGTTAGTTTTTGGACATAATTATATGTAAAGGATTGTAATCGAACTCGTATGAACTATGTTTTATATAAACTTCATGTTATATGTGTTTGGGTTAATATGAAATGAGTTGGAATTGAAAACGGATGAAATTGGGGAAAAATTGGGCACACCCTACCAATTGAACGTCGAGTTCTTCTACCGGTAGATGTAGTCTAGTCGGGAGGTTTTACCGGTAGAACATCACTTATTGCCGTTAGAACATTTCTAGTAGGATTCTCTTACCGGTAGAACTTCACGTTTCTTACTGGTAGAAGAATTCCAGAAGGTCTTTTTTACCGGTAGAACATGGACTTCTTCTACCGGTAGGTTTCCTCAAGTTTTCTGAAAACTGGAATCCTATGCGCACATCTACCCGTAGGACATTGCACACTTCTATCGATAGATTTTCTTCAAAATTCTAAAATTTGAAATGTTTTGTTAAGTCTTCGAGCATCGATTCATTATGCTCAAAGAAGTTATTTGGGTATTAATGACCATAAATTGATGTATAAAGGACTATGGATTGATCGACGATAAAATGTACACAGGTTATCCGTGTGGGTTATGATCCCCGTTAAGAGGATGTTATTGACATGATGTCAGGTTATGCAGTATTCACGGTTACTTCCGAAGGTTGATAAGTGATCAACAGTTGACAGGTGATCAACGGTTGACAAAGGACCCAAGATTTTAGGGATATCATACGAGCACTTATTACCGAGATGTTTATAATGGTTGGGATAGAGTCATAAATGCACGGCCCACTCGACATGCTAGACTCTAACATCAGGTCGTCTTGCATTAATGAGATATGACACAGGCACTCATTAAATTAGGTGAATGTGTCAGGACATTAATAATTAAGAAGTGACAAACATTATGATAGTTACACGTATAAATACACAGTAAAAACATGAAAATGAAGATACGTAAGCTAAAAACACTATGTATTGAATATACTCTACACACTTATACGCCGACTAACTTAAGTTTCGGAGGGAATAAGTTAGGTTTTCACTCGGCCCTTTTTCTAAATTTGCCCATCATTTGCAAGATTGTTCAAAAGATCACCAGTGCGGATCACTATCTCAACTCATTTCAAAAATTCCTCCGTGCAGAATCTATATTCACATGCATGTGAATGTACCTAAAACACATAAAGAACAACCCAAATCAATCAAAACCGGACAAGAAGAAAGACATTTTAGAGAATAAAGCATCGAGAGAAAATGAAGAAAAAAA